ATTAACAAAATGAATATACAATAACATTTAACAAATACGGAGTATTTAAATATCAATAAAAAAATTAGGGATCTGCCTAAAAATTAGAACAAGGGAATAAATTAAAGTATTCAAAAAAATAAATTGACAGTATTCAAGGGAAATTGAATATACCTGATGATGAGAGCCTTCGTATTTGTGAAGAAGAAGAAGAATTGAAGAAGAAAAACTCAAAAAGTGAAGACGATTGGATTTTTTTTTCACTTTGCCGCACGAACATGAGAGAATAGAGACAGTCACAGTGCCTTTTTTTGCTTTTGCTTTGCCGCACGAAAAAAACTAGGGAATTGTTAATTACTTAATGGGTATAGCCATCATTTGGTCAAACGGCCCAAACCCTTAATTTTTTTTAAAAAAAACTTATCACCACGACGTCGTTTAAATCTTTATTTTTTCCGGAAATTGCAGCGGCTTCTTCTTCTTCTTTCCTGTGCACAGCTGCCACAGACCACAGTGCATGCCTGAAAATTTGGGGGGGCACACCAAGCCTACCATCGGAGAAGTGATACACCACTACTACTTCGCCGGAAATTCGCCGGGGGGCACTTGCCCTGGCAGCCCCCCCCCTCTCCTCCGCCCCTGACTCTAGTTCTGTAGTTCTTTTAATATACAGTAGTTTTTTAATATGTAATTTTTATTTTTAAATTTTACACCATTTTTCATATAAAATGATATATAAAAATAACTTCAGTCAAACATCGTAACGTGCAACGAGAAGTTTATTTGTGAATGAAAGGAGTATCTAACAAGAGCATACTTTTATAATTTAAAAAAACATAATTTCAATTTTAAAAAATTACATTAAATAATTCACTTTTATTTTGTTGTACAAAATAGACTTTTTCTAAAAATACCGTTAGAGCGCTATTACCCTTCTAACATCGATCCAAAATACGCAAACGAATGAAAAGGTGAAATTATTATACATAATATTGAAAGGTGGAAAATTTTGGCCGAAGAGTTAACCGGGATTATTTTAAATTATTTCTCCAAAGAATAAAAACCACATTACATTCCTAAAAAGAGTGCAAGTATAAGCTTTACATTACATTAGCAGGAATTAGGCGAATCATTTTTTATGTGCTTACGGAGTAATACTTTTGTGGTTAATAACATAGTACCATGGTCATACTTATGTAGGAGTATAAAATAAAACTCAAATCCTTTTTTTGACTGAACCAACAATAAAATGCTCCAATCACTTCATTTTAAATTATCTGTTATTGTTTACCATGTTTGGTTGAAGTCATTTTCAAATAAATTTATATGAAAATTTGAGTAAGATTAAAAAATTTATATATTTAAAAACTAAATAAAAAATTCTACATAAAAAGAAGTGTCGTGAGTATGTCATTTTATCAAATAAGTATGAGTAATGAATAAAAAATGGTGAAAGTTTCACTATTTAAATAGTATGCAACTTAAATTGGAACAGGACGAGTAGTAATATACTAATATGAAGACAAACCCATACAACAACAACAAATTTACAACCTAATAGAATCACACAAAAATGTAAAGGGTGGAGAGTGTGTATACCCAGACCTTACCCATAATACAATAAAAAGGATAAAAGTATAATACATAAAAGGTAAATAGTATACAAGTATATCATCTATACCCCCACCGCCATGTGCATATATGATACACTTACAGATATGATTTTTTGCTTCATCCCAACTTTTTTTGTACAAAAGATTGAGAAGAAAAAAAAGAGAATAGATTTACTCATAAACTTACAATCGGGTTATTACCATATAAGCTTGTGTCTGGACCTCTGGCGGAATTGCTTTTTTGTCACACACCACGAAGAGGGAAAGGTACTCAACTGTGCAACAAAAAAAAAAGAAAGTTATGGCCACTCGCATTTGGCTATTCTCGGTCCCTTTCAAGTGTATTTTGTCTAAAATACCCTTAGATGTGTTTGTAATTGGGGAGCTCTTAGAGCATTCACAATGGCAAGGCAATGTCTTGCCATGCCTAGCTATGTCAGTAAATGCCACTCATGGCATTCCATAACCATTCCACCCCACTTTTCATTCCATGTGCAAGGCATGACTCCCTCATTTTTTATTTTTTTTTAATATTTTTAATTTTTGAAAAAAAATATTTTTAAAAAGAAGTTGACATGTTTTAATAATAAAATAAATGTGTAGAATAATTTTTTATAATTAAAAATCATTAAAAAAATACAAAAACAGACAAAAACAATGACTGGTTACTGTATGTTACGACACTCTTCTCATTTGCCACACAGTGAGTTGGTTATTTTTATTCGTTGAAATAGTCCATCACCGTGTGTCGTTTCATTTTTGTCTTGCCATTGCTAATGCTCTTAAAGGGTTTTTAGACAGAGTGACAATATCAGCTCCCCAAAAAAACACAAATCTAGTACTCATCTTCAAGTTTTGTCAAAGGGGCTCCTGGTCATTTCAATTTTCAACTTGGTAAATCAATGAAATAAAACAGTTACAACAGTTATCAGCATACTCCTTTTTACTGCCTTTGTCTTTCTGCACATTCTCCTTTTCGTTTCTACTAAATTAAGGTTCCACATTTCTTTTTTCATTTGTCCCAAAAGAAGGTTCTACTTTCCTTTGAAGGAAAGAAATCTGTGGTTAATATTATTTCTCTCCTCAGCATTAATCTTAAACCACACATTTTTTCATATTTTCTAATAACCATGATGCTCTTAAAGTTCATGTGAAACATTTTTTTAGGGACGGTTCTAACATAATATTAGAACTTGAAAGCATTTTTCAGAATTAAAAAAGCCGAGAGATGTTTTGCAGTAGCTTACATTGCTGATGAGCTTTGCTCCATACCATGCAGAATCTACACCATGAAGGGGAGGAAGTACTCTAACGCCAAAAGACATTGATGGGGGAAGAAGACCACAAACTTCCTTCTCTAATCTTTCTGGAGATGCAAAGAAAGCAGTTCAGTTGAATCTTTATGATGCAACATTAATTTCCCTTACACTATGTAAGGAACTCAGAAGGAATAGAAAAGAAAACGATTTTCTCATTTTCCTCGCCAAATGAGACGAATTTGTTTTTCCCTCCTTTTAGTACATTTTGCCTTCTCATTTTCTTTTCCTTCTACTTTTTCTTTTCTTTTCCATCTCATTTTCTTTTCTTTACCTTTCAAATTCCTTAAACCAAGCATAGTGTTAAACTTTAAAGTAATCTTTGGGCTTTCTTGTACCCCACTTGTATAAAGTTCACATGTGCATATGATGGTGATCTACCAAAGGAAAAAAACAACAGTAAAAAAAGCTTCAGTTTACCAGCTAGCCCATGCAAACATGCAGTACCGCCTGCCAAGATCACAGTTCTATACCAAGCATCATCGGCAACAAGTTCTGCTTCTTGACAGTGCACCATGCACAATGCAAGAGCATGGTGTAATCCCATGGCACGCCTGCAGGAAGGGCATGAATATGGAAGTGAACTCATTAAATGAGCAGTACAGCTACGAGAAACAAATGCGTAAACAGAATTGGCCAATAGTTCACATTAATTTGTAGAATAAAATGGCATGGACTTACACTCCTGCAATATGAGGCTGGAACAGAATTTCTCCTGTTCGAAACCGTTCTTGATCAAGTGTAAAGACACCTTCTGATGGAACTTGAAATGAGGCTAGTGTGTCTTTGGATTGCTCAGCTTCATAATCGGGAGCAACATAGCAGAGATTCTGCACGTCCACTAAAGAGCACACATCAAAAACAGACCACAAAACACACTAATTTTTTGTGTCTTGCTGAGAAAATAATGAGAAATGCAAAGTGACTCCAAGATTACAAATCTGAACTTTACTAGATCGCTATTGGAGATTATATTAATAGTAATAATAATAATAATAGTAATAATTATAATAATAACAATAGTAATAATAATTATAATTATAATTATAATAATAGTAATAGTAATGGCAATAGTAATAGTAATAATACTAATAGTATTACTAATAATAATAATAATAATAATAATAATAATAATAATAATAATAATAATTTTGTTTAAATCTGATTTGATTGAACCTGGTCTGGTCTAGGTTTATTAAGAATACGTAATAAGCAGAAAAAATAAGTTGAACGGAACGCTGCCTATTACTGTGAATAGTGTTCCCGTTCATATCTGTCACAACGGAAAACCTTCTTTTACATCGATCTTCTTTACACATCTTCAATCTTTGCAAATTTAAGATTTCAGAGACAGTGCATATCTGGCTAGGTTTCTTCCCTTATTTACTTGGAAAATTAAACGGAGTATTACACAATTTCCTTAACGAACATAATTACATACTTTCATATTGAATTTCATGTTGTGCAATGCACGGGTGTGATTCTGGTATCTACAAAAGTTCTATATTATACCAAGTTGATTGAAGGCCTCCCAAGAATTGAGAAGAAAAAAATGCCTACCTCCTTTAATGTGCGCACAGTGTAAAGTGAGCCAAAATATATGTTCTTTTGCTGCATCTGCTCCTTAAGGAAACTTGTAAGTTTCAAAGCTCCTATTCCTATTGTTTCCACGCCAACATTGTGCAGTATTTGACCATGTAGAACTGCTCCAACAAAAATGCAAAACACTAAGAGCGTGCATATTGCAATGCATTACATTCATAGTTTAGAAAATCATGTCTTACTTGGAACAACAGATGTCTGGTGAAAACCAATATTGATAACTATTCCCGATGTCCGCCTTGCTGCAAACAAAGCTAAAACTGCCTGCATTTTTAAAAAGGAGCAAGTCACAACAATATTTTTAAAAAGATACTCTATTTTAAGTGTACAAAGAAAGCATGTAGATTAACACATGCAAATGAATGAATTGATAGACAATGCCAAAGTGCATATTAAATTAGGGACGGTTAATGTGACCTTGGGTATCAATTTCAAAAAATTGATGGTTCCTACCCCCAATCCCCTCCGTAAACCCCCCCCCCCTCGCCGATTGCCTCCCGTGATCACTGTAGCCAATTGGCAAAAGGGAGGGGACCGGGAGTAGGAACCATCAAATTTTCGAACGGAGCACCATAGGTGCCCTGGGTCATGCTATGAGCCTATGACATTGATACCCAATGTTATGAACCGGAGTGTATTAGATTTCGGCTCTCATTATTTCCAGTGATATAATATCTAGATATGTTAGATTTCCTTTCCCATAAAGGGTGAACTGGCTAGTTTTCTAAAATATGTCACATATGGTTAATGCTTTTTTACTGCTAAAAACTAAGCTATGGTATTACATCATCAAGACGCCCCTTAAAATTGTGCAGCAAGAAAATGCATTATGCTGTTTTACTATCAATAGAAGATCATGATCGATACATCTCTTTTTTTAATAAAAAAATCAGGCCAAAAGGTTCAACTTGAAAATTATAATAACATCGTTCACAATCTTTACCCCCATTTTACAAGGGCATATGAAGCTTACAGCCATCGTTAATCGAAAAAAAAAAGCAGAAAAATAATTTAACGACATAAAAACCTGGTTAATGGCACAAACAGCAGGAACATGCATGTCAAATAATGCTGAAAGGATAGCTTCATTTAGCTGCTTCCGAGATAATTTGTCAGATTCGATGTCTAATGTTGAAATCCATATAGTGAAACACGTAAGACACTTTGCATATGAAAGATATGAAAGTTCAAATATATATAGAATACACATACAACAAAAGAAAAAGGTTCAAAACTAATGCAGCTCATGTATTTTATCTATTCTTTCTACACATTTCAAGGATCAATATAAATGACGCACGCACACACACATGCTGGGAGGATAGCTTCTTCTAGATCCTTCCCAGGTGCATTTCCAAGATTTCAGATCTGAAGTGTAGAACCATATAGAGGAGTAAAAAATATGACATTGTGCATATGAATGGCATAAAAGTTCAAACATGCTCCCCCACGTCCCGAATTAATCGTCTAACTTTCGTTTTTAGACCGTCCCAAAAGGAAAGAATATGTGGTCCACAATCTTTCTTTCTTCTAAAAAAATTCCAACCACCCACTTTTTTTCCAACAACTTTCTTAACTCCGTGAATTCAAACTAGGAAGAATTAATTCGGGGTGGAGGGAGAAGTAAATAGACTAAAAATTACTCCACAAAATATTACATCGATCAACCTAAGTGTGTGCACATACATACAAACAATTGAAGGTGATAAGTCTCAAGATGGACAAAGAATAGGAGAGATGCAATATAACAAGGAGGCTCACCATCACAATGGCATATTGGAAGGGACACAATAATCGGTTGTGTTGACGTTTTCACCTGCATCCTGCAAAGGAACCATGTAAAAAGAGTGACCAAATGCTTTCATTTAATGTAAAATGAAAATGTCACTTGAAAAACACACAAAATAAAATAAATTCAAATAAAACGGAAACCTAGATGCTACTGGGAAAACATTTACAACAAGAAATCCATAAGATGGAAAGAAAGAGCCAGCTTTATTTTTTACCTAGGATTAATAAATGGACATAATTTAGGTGTGCAAAACATAAGTTGATTCTACCAATACAAATTTCCAAACTTTTTAAATCATTTTGCTTCTAGTTTCAAATGGTCAAATAGATTATCAAAGGAATAGTAGCTATCTATTTTCACTTCTTTCCAGAAAAAAGCCTTGCTATGTCCAAAATTCTTCCATCCAAAAGAAGCCAAATGAAACATGAGCTGATTTTGCAAAAGAGATTCCCAAAGAAATATAAGCCAAAAAGTGCAGATGATCAACCCAACCATAGTGAAGCAATATATGGGCTGTAGATTCAGTTCTTTTTATTTTTATTTTATTTGGAAATATATGTTTGAAATTTTTCATCAAAAAGTTTATGTCTCAAGCTTGGTAAGATTTATCTTTTCTCAAATCTTCTCCATATTATATCCTTGTTTCTCCAAAGATAGATGCTTATTTCTCTAAATATATTTGGCAAACATCTATGATACAAAACTAACTAAGAAAGGCAAACCTGCTATATATCGTCGTGAAGAAATGCCTCAGCCTAGAATACATTGGAGATTCAATGTTACCAAACTCCTAGGCAAAAGAGAAGTCCAGAAAATGAAAATAATTAAACATTGATAGCAAATGGTTAATAGAGAGAGAATCTCGCTTCTATATAATTGTCTTTTAAAGAGTGAGCTGCCAATTACTATGGGAAGCATATAAGAAAGCTTACTAAAAATGTGGCTGATCTCCCCGATGGACGAGTATATTTATTCCATCCATATTTACAATAGCCAGAACCACCTTTTCATAAAAAGGATAAATGAATTAATAAGATCACAAGAGAGAGTATTTTACAAGGTACTACCCTTTAAATGCTGTTTTGAATGCACATAAATAATTAAGTAAAAATCAACCAGAGTCCCGATGGTCTGTCCTACATAAAACAGAGTAGAAACAATATCCTAGTGCGCACCATCAATAATCATAGTTCCCGGAACCTTAGCACGTTGGCCATAAATATGCATGAATGAAAGTTCAGCAACCGGATTAGCAAATGCCCTGCACATGGCAACCCACCAATAAGTTCAAAGACCTACGCCTGCCACTTATTCTTCCTTAGGTATATAAGCTATATACTAATTTAGGTGAAATGCTACTGGCAAATCAAAATCAAAACCATTGAGGCTGGTAGATAGGGTTGTAAACCATATGAATAATTTTGGCTTGATCTGAATTCAAATAGGACAATTCAAATTTGAATATTTCAAATGGAAATACAAACAGAAATACGAGTTTTGATTCAAATGTTAAAAAATACAGATATTCCCGTATATATACTGATTTTAGTGTCATCGTGCTATTTTGCACATTTGGATTTACATAAAGACCAGACATGAAGTCATAACAAAAATTGATACGAGTTAGGAGGTGTGGAATATACATTTGTTCAATAATGTTATGACTTCAAAACCCAAGGAGCAGGTGTCTGGGGGCGACAAACCCTAGCGGGGTCCAAGGGGCCCTTGACTGGGTCAAGCTGCCAGCTCACCTAGGAAAATTTTTATTTTGGTAAGTGCTACCTTATGGAAAACTCGTCAGCTTTCAAATGGTTTCCGAGAAAGGTACACAAGTATTCGAATACTAATATAAAAATTTGAATTCTTACCTTCCAGTGAATTTAATGGAAGGCCGGAATACCCAATACTTGGATACTGCTCGCGAGCAATCGAACACTTACTTTCGAGCAATTTTTTAACAAGAGGTTGGGACATTCTACTATTTGAATATATACTACCCGTAAAGTTGTGTAGGTTCATCCCAACAAATACATGGAGTATTTAAATGCTACAATGTAGTATTGGAATACTTTCTATACAGATGTGTTGGAAAGTTGGTTCATCCTTGGAAAGCTTGGTCGGATTTCTTTTATAAATATAAAAACAGATGCCTGATACATGTTCCAGATACTTTACGTCTCCATCAAAGAATTTTGAATACCAACATATACATCCAACATAAAACTTAATACACCATTTAGACGGGGAGAAGAATGAAACTGACTAGACACCCATGAAAATCTTCTAGGGCACCTAGATAAGATTAATTAAGACTCCTAAGAAGCCATCAAACAAATTAAGCACTTAACTCACAGCAAATGAGTTCTCTCTGATTTATCCCATACTTATTCATCAAGGATTTCATTCACTTACATTAAGTGGATAATTTAGTATTGTAGTAAACTTCACAGTTTTCATGTCTTTGATTTATGTTTTTTCCCCTAAAAACAGAAAAGAACTGATATCTACGAGACAGTAAAGAGCTTCAAAAGGATTAAAAAAAGAAGAAGAGAGAGGGCTAGTACCGAAGAGGATGACCAGATCGCAAGTGAGTTTCAGCGAAGAATATATAATCCCAAGGCTCCTGCTGGTTCTGGAGGAAGTGAACCCAGAGCCGGTTATCTGAAACGACGAATCTCCACAGCTTACAGACGGCGGCGAGCTTCGCCGCCTCCTTGGGGCCGAGGAGCTTCAAGATCACAACGAATATATCGGTCGGAATCCGATCGAACTCCCCCGCCGACGATGACGCCGGTAACACACACATCTGCTGTTGAAACCCATCGCTCGGGTAGCCTTTGGACCCGGGACTCGGAAGCGAACTGCCAGAAACAGAATCCCAGACTTTCCGGAAGAGGCTGGCCATGGTTGTTCGGACATGAAGCTTCGGTTATGGAGTTATATAGTGATATCATCAGCTGTGGAAGGAATTAAAAAATGGAGAAAGGACATTGCAGTGCATCATCAAAGAGATTTGGATTGACGAGGAACGATCTTATCTTCAAAACCCCCTTTATCTTATTATTACTAACCAAAAGATATTTGGTTTGACTTGGGAATAATCTAGCCGCGGCTACACGACTTTCTTCCTTTCTTCATTCTTACTCACTAAATTTTACCGGTGCGATGCACGGTCAGAATAATATAATAATAAATTACTCTGTGTGTGTAAAGAATTTAAAAATTAAAACAAATAGATATAGTAGACAATAACATTTAAAATATATCACACCTGAATGCCGTCTATTTCGAACAACAATGCCTTTTATAGCGTTGTTATATCATCTAAGAGTGCATTACACATAAATACTAAAAGAGCATTACACATAAATAAGTTATACATATACAAATGCATTATAAGTTTTGGAATACTTCTTTGTATACAACATTTGAAGTATAGTCCAAGGCATTATTTTCTTCGTCGCAACATAAGATCTTCAATCCTTCACGATTTGTCACACGGGAGATTGCTACATATAGCTGACCATGACTAAAGACGGGTTTTTTAAGTAGCCGCCCAACATGCGATAAAGATTGACCTTGACTTTTGTTAATGGTCATTGCATAAGAAGTCATGACAGGAAACAGTTTCCTTTGAAACTTGAATGGAATCCTTTTATCCGATGGAGTCAATGAAAGTCTTGGGATAAAAACTCCGTGCCCATCATTTTTCCCTCCCATAACTTTTCCTTGAATTAAATGCTTCCCCAATTTTGTCACAATCAATCTTGTACCATTACACAAGCCCATAGATTGATCAATATTTCTAAGAAGCATGATTGGAGTACCGACCTTTAACGTGAGCACATGGTTTGGAACACCTGAAGCTCGAATGCCATTTAAAAATTCTGGTGAATGTAAATCAGATAAAACATCCACGTTTGAGTCTGACTTACAAATGCTATCCGAGCTTAAGTACGTTTTAGATTCCTCTTTCACATTCTTTGATGTCATGTAATCATTAACAGCATCTACCACATCTAACGTTGGTGCTAGAATGGCTCTATGTTGCAAGTACGATGGGTCGTTTGCGATGATGTTAAAATCTGGGTATGTTGATTGCACAATTGCCTCGATGGGATCATTGCAGTATTTCAAAACAATATCATCAGGAAGAACAATTTTTGCACACCC